CCTCTTGCAATTCTTTTCTTATTTCCCTATTTTTCCTTCTCTCCTCCTTCCTCCACCTCCCCATCAGTAGCAGTAAACAGGTTATTAATGTGTGAGCAGTCACTGTTTCTTCCCAATTTGTTTTTGTCAATTTATCTGGAGATTAATTCTCCAGTTTTACATGCTGCTTAGCCAATCAAATTCCCCCCAGCCCACGGTAGTTGAGTTTGAGGTTGGGGGGAGGAAAAAAAAAGCAATTGGATTATGTGTCACCCCAATGGAGTGTCTCCGCCAAAACATCCACTTCTTCCGTCTTCTTATATCAGCAAAACACGTCTTCATTTAGGGCCTGCTCTTTTGACTACGGCAATAACTCTGTATCGCTTCACTTAAGATGCTGCTTGGCACAGTTGTGACTGTCTTGTCAGTTGGAATTAAAGGGGTGAGTTAGCTGAGGAAGAGGGGGAGAGGTAGTTGTTTGTGGACGGTCTGTGAAGTGATGCAGTACAGACACAAAGCTTTAATAATAACTTTACTGCAGAAACTGTCAGAGAGACAGAAAAACAAAAAAATAAGCAAATGGAAAACTTCAGGATAAAGAAAAAAAGGTTGCGTTCTATCACTTTCCCACTTTGAGTGCCAATGCATATAAATAGCCCGTGTCTCTATTTGTTTATTTCCTCACACAAAATAGTAATGATCTCATATTTGTTTTTAGCTTTTAAGTCTCCCGTTTGTTTCCTAGATTTTTTTCCAAGTGTGTTTGTTGGTGGCAGAGTCGTGGAGGTCAAAGCATGAAAGTCTTTGCTGAAATTAAAAGCTGTAAAAGTGGAATCAACCAAAAACACACCACATAGATTCCTTACAGTACAGCCCACCACAGGGGTCCGTCCACTGTGAATTATTAATTGTAGGACCAGTGAGTAATTTTAATGGAGTAGTGTAGCTATAAATGTTGTGTTTGTGCTTTAAGATAATTTGACTTGGAGAGCTGGCATGTGTTTCAAGTGATTGTTACAAACAGGGCTGGTTTATTATCCTGCTCATTCTGAATCCATTTAATTTGGTTGTAATTTAATTGTGAGTTTAGGTAATTTCGGTAACACCATATTTACTTTTACCTCCCAAACCTTCAATTTGACTCTGGTAAACTAAAACCGTTTCTAATGTTTACAGCTGAATAGCATTTGTTCACAGTAATAATGATGGTTTTAAATTAGATGTTGAGGATGAAACATCATGATCGTGCCACGCACACCCCTGCTTTTTCCTGCAGTTCTTGTTAGAAGATATTTTGTTAATAGGCCACATGCCTGTTCTATTAAATGTTCTATTACATTCTGTTAAATATTAAAAAAAAAAACAACCAGCTAATGAAGAGTGCACTGATACCAGTATTGATACACTTGATGTGTGCCGATCCAGCAACACCACTACCCTATGATGGCTTTTCACTGCAGGCTGCTGCACAGCCGTTTTCCTACTGCAGTATTATGTCTCATTGGTCTCGTAGGGAGTTTATTGAAATACATCAACAAAGTCAGCAGTTTGGAGATATTTTAAAATGAAGGACAAAGACAGGAGCAAAGCTTACTGCAAGATTTGTTCTGTTATGATATGAAAAATTTAATGACACACCTAAAGACATTAAGGTCTGGTCTCAGGGATGAGGCATTTGCAGCTCATCGAGGCACATTATTTTATTTTTTTATTCCGAGTTATTTAAACAACATTGTGTGTGTGTATGAGGAGTCTCTCACCATGGTTTAGGTTGAGTTCACGTCTACACACTGCATGTCTCCCCATTTCCCACTGAGCTGTATCACCTATATAATACTCCCTACCTGTTCACTGCATATTTATTGAAACCTGATCTGAAGTATCACTACGTGTACTCAGTATCATATATGAAAATACGCATACTTGTTTTGGTTTGTATTTTTAAAAAAATATTACAACAACCTCACACTAAGGAAAGAATAAAGATAAATCCTGGAGTGGTTTCACTAATTGAATTACGTTTGTTTTTTAATTCTGTGGAAAAAAATCAAACAAATACCCCAAAGTATATTCCATTGGCATCAGAATTGCACACAGTGAGGCAACTGATAAAAACCTGTTTGAGCCCCATCTGTGAATATTGTCTCGGGGGGGAATGAGACTTTACTTTAGAATCAGCTGGGAATAGCTCTTCCCAAACATTTACTCTCCAAGATGTAGCACTGCAGTTTTCCACAGTTTACTGAGGGATACAGTGAGTCAAAACATCTTGTCAAAAAAGATGAATAATCCCTTCTCTGGGAGCTGCTGGCCTTCTTCCTCTTCTTCCTCCTCCTCCTCCTTCTCCTGCTGCTGCTGACCACAGTAGCATTTCTAAGCAGGCTTGATTGCTCATTTGTCTTGTAATAAGCATAGCTAAGGATATATTTGCTTTTACTGACACGTATTTTGCATCATATTCCTACAAACACACTTAAATACCATGTCATTTTTTTGCAGATTTATCACAGCAATATGACCTTGTCGATTCCATAACAATGTAGATGAGACAGATGCGTGCACGACGCTGCGATGCTACTCTCAGAATGTCAATTCTATTCCTGAGAAAAGGAAACTGTCACCTTTTCCTTGTTCCCACTTTGTGTGTGTTGAACAATTAATCATACAGCAGAGTCATTGGTTATATTTATCACTCTACATATCTGCGTACAACATATCTTATGCCAAGCCCTGTATGCACGGTTTGTAAACCCTATGATGTATGCCCTCTATATATTTCTTGATTGATTGTATCCTTGCTGCTGACTCCTGGCAAAGCAGGACGCACCTTCTTAATTCATCAGTTGTTTATTTATTTTATCGCTGCAGAGTTAAAGTTGCTCCCTCCTCCTCTTCCCCTCTGAGTTGCTGTATAGTTGCCCCAGAGTGTAAGCAGAAAGAATGAGGCAAGATGACGTTGGTGATTAAACAGACATGTGAAAAACTGTTTATTTCAGCTTCACAATTTGAATCATGTGTTTAAAACCTTCCTCGTTTGAACTCTGAGTCGGTGCAAAACGTCTACGACAAAAAATGCAATCAGTCTTGCGATCTCTGGTCCCAGGGTGGAAGATAAAATTGCTTATTTGGATCTTAGGTTGTGGGAGTTTGCTCTGAGTATCTCTGAGGGATTCATCATTTTAAGGAAAGAAAGCTTCCTGAAACTCATCCTTTCAGCAGACAGAACCAAGGTTGCCTCGTGTTTGCTGGTAACTTTTCTCCGTAACCAATCTTTCCACGGAAATACATTTATATCTGAGTAATGAAACTGGCACAGCACGCAAGTAGTATTTCTTTGTAACTGCATAACTGCACTAACAATTTGGAGAAATAACTGCAAGAACATATTCGGCATTTAAAAGGATATTTGACTGTGAAAATTGTCATTTTATTTTGGTCTTTAGAGTGGAGTCAAATGTATAAAAGTACCTGCAACAAAACTAGTTGCTAGGATAAATCAGTGAGTGACCTTGTTGTGAGTTTACTGATAATATCAGTACGTATTTGTCCTATTTTCAAGAGTGAGGGCAGAGCTGTTGTTTTTTTTTTTGTTGCATTTTTAGAAACGCTAGATCTATAGAAAGTGAATAAATCTTGCATTTCTCTGTATGTCTGACCTGCAGAATTTAGAAACTTAAAGGCGAACATATTTTTTTTTTTCATCCTGAGAAGTTCAGAAGTTGCTAACTGTTTTAGTTTAGGTTTTCTGAAGATAACTCACCTCTTAATTTGAAGCTTATTCAGTTAATGCTGGAAGAATCCTGCTATTTAGCCTACAAGGACCTGAAACCTGAACAATAAGTCACAGTCACGGTAAAACAAAACCATTATCCACAACCAGACCTGTACAAGGATTTTGTGTTCACCTGGTTCAAGGTGTGAATGTGAATGCATTTTCCATTGTTCAGGATATTGATTTATTTTTAACAACAGTACACATACAGTACAGAATGACATTCTGTTCTGCAACAACACTGCCCTCTACCTGTGTTTCTCTTGTTGTCGATCTATTGAGCGGTGACTCTGGACTAAGATCACAGGGTATTATAACAGAAAAATGAGTGGAGCATAAACAGAATCTTTGATCAAAACATGGAAAACATTGGACAAAACAACAAACTATTGAACATCTGTGCCACTCTGAAATGTTGGCTCAGGATTTTTTTTTTTGTAAGCATTAAAATATAAAATATGCACATACTGCAGGTACATTAATATCATCAATTATTTAGGAGTGTATATTTTACCTGTAATGGAGATTCTGCTGTTACTGCTGTACTCTCTCTCTCTCCCCCCTCCCTCTCCTCTCTCTTCATCCTTCAGTAATCTTACACCTATACATTTGGCAGTCACACTGCGTGTACTGTAAATGCCACCTGAAAATTTAAACACCTTGAAAACCTGCAGATAACTCCATCCTTTATTTCACTTGTCTCTCTATTACGGCATGTCTATTATCAACACTTACTTACACTGCACTCTGGTAATTAATGTGATAATTTGGAGCGTCTTTGTGGTTTGTTTACTGTCATCTTATCTTAGAAATGTCTGCTTTTAGCAGCGCTCCTGAACAAACAGGTCCAACTCAGCTGATTTTTTTTCCGACTCTTTGCTCGGTAACAGCATCACATCCTCTGACCGTGGCTAAGTTTGGTGACAGACTGTTCACTGTGAGACCTGCAGCACAGACCTGCAATAAAGAAAACCTGCTGAGACTCTGTGTCCTAAAAAAGTAACTCCCCAGGCCATTGTCACCTCAAATATATTAATCCCAATCGTGTAGCATTTGCAGTACATATATAAAAACACTATATATACAGCAGCACTACATCACCTCAGTCAAACTGGTCTACTGTACCTCTCTCCCTGTGTTTTTAAAAGTAGATTAGGTCACATTGGTGAATGAGAACTAAAACATCTGTAAACTCTTTTGTCTGTGTTTCATATTTAACACCTTTTTATCTTTTCCCCTCTGTTTTCAGTCCCAGCCAACATCTACAAAGTGTCTGAGGACATCATAGTGAATGAGGGCAGCAACGTGACACTGACTTGTTTGGCCAGTGGCAGACCAGACCCTATAATCACCTGGCGGCTCCTTAACCCCTCAGGTAAGAGTCATGCAATCAGTGCTCATTTTAGCTGATGTCAGTCTGGATTGTGGCCACATGCTGCTCTTAACTACATGCTGTTTGTCAGAATTTCAATGAAAAAGAAGTCTTTTGAAAAATATGTTTTGATCCAAACTATAATAAGCTAATTTTACAACATTTAGACATTATCATTGTACTTACTAAGGCATTGACAGAAAAACCAAGTGGCACTAGTCCTTGTCCCCTGGGAGGAGTTTAAAAAGTCGTGTGTGTTTTTTCTTCTGCATGTCTGCCAACGAACTCTTCACCTCTGATTGGCTTGCGCTGATATTTTATCATTGTTTTGACCAATAGTTGTTATCACTTCATAAAACGGGTTGTAACGTTGCTCTGCCTGGAAGGATAGTTTACACAAGAACCCACCAAGCTGCTCATTTTTAATAACTGGAGGAAAACCACAAGATGTCACATGATCACAAGATCACGGTGCATTTAGTCTTAGAGGACGAAACTGTCACCACCCTAAGAGTAAAAAAAACGTGACTGAAGATACGAACGTCTGACTGGGAGCTGATAGAACAAATGACTGCTGTGATATTTCCATTAGCAGAAGCTATGAATGTGATGTATGGAGGGTTACAGGCTCGTTGTTGGACATATGTGTCTGCATAGATTCTACTCTGTCAATTTGATGATGTCATAAATTACTCGCCGACCGGATTTGGACTTTATTGTCAGATTAGTCGACGTAAAAAAAATGGACATGTTGTCATTGCCCCAGTAATAATTTAAATAATGTGTGCTCTGCGTCTAACCGCTTGCAGAGAGCTCCCAGAATACTACCATAATGATTTCCCCTTACTCCATTCTCCATCAAGTTGTAACACGTGTAAGATCTTGGCTCATGTACGATTCAGATCATCACAGTGCAGAGGCTGCTGTAAAGTAGCAGCACTCTACAGTGATTCAAGTTTCCCTCAAGTAAGCAATTTGACTAAAGTCTAAAAGACAGAAGTACTTATGAGCTGGCAGTAAATCCACTGTTAGGACATCCAGTAAGATGTATCCTCCATAACTTTTCTGCAGGTTTTCCCCACATTTGGAGCACAGTGGCAGTAAACCCTTCACTGATGTCCCATTATTCTTACCTCTGGCACCATTCGTGCAGACAGAGCTGGCTTCAGCAACTGTCACAACTGAATAAAAAATGGCCCAAGCAGCTTCATTCTCCTCTTTCTTTTCACCCAAAAATATACTCCATATTACCCTGAACATCCCTTTAATTTATTCCAAGTCTTATTTTTATATGCGTGTTGCAGAAATACCACCTTTATCTTTTACCTACATTAATCAGTACCACCATAACTGGAGCAGTTTAAATGTTACACAAAATCCAGTAATTAGTCACATTTGTCTTATTTGGGTAAACGAGCTATTTGCGGCTTGCTAAAGTCAGGAATAATGTAAAGAAAATGTTTGTAAGTAGTAGCAAATAACAAGCAGAAATCCAACAGTCTGTAATTTTTAAACTGTTAAATGAAAGAAATCCAGGGTCGTGTCCTCATCAGTGGGAAGTACAGATTTATGATGACATCACAGATGTTAGTCGTTACCCATGTATGCACAGGCGCACTGTTTAAAGTTGAGTAATTACTTGCTTGACAGTGTCTTCTAAAGAAAGGAAACTCTTCCCTGCCTAAACTTTATTCTATATTTTATGCACACTGGCGATGAAGATCTAGTCAGGTCTGGTTTCCACTCTTGTGTGAGGGGTGCTTTATATATTAGACTGTTCTCAATAGAATGCAACATCGGACTTTTAAGGTTATGAGGCCATTTATCTCAACCTAAAGGACTCAAAGACTGGAGTCCATCAGTTGACAACATTGTGTGTTGTCAACTGTGTGCCATGTATTTGTACTCACCGTCACACGTTACCCATGGGTTGGGATTACGTCAGTGCATGCGCTTTTTTCATGCCTGGGATTTCAGCCACGGAAGATAAATGGCCACCGCTGTGATAAATGGAGATTCTTGTGCTGACACCATCTTAGTTTGATAACAACCATGTGTAAAATGAAAACAATACTGTTGTCGCGTCTGTATCAATCCCTGCATCGTTCTGTCACACTTAGTCATCTTCCATCAAACATATCCGCTTCTGCACTTGGAAGCTGAATCACTTGCGTCAGTGTGTTTGCCTCTTTTGTCTGTTTTCATTAAAGAGGAATGATTTATTCATCCTAATCCCCAGAGGCCCGTGGATCTAACTGGCTGCTCCACAGATCCGTGATAAAATATGTGGGTTTTTTTTTTTTACTCATGCAACCGAGGGCAGTCCCTTAGGTTCTAATGGCTCACAACTTTATTCTGGGTAAAGCTCTCTTAGAACTTTGACAGCTTTGTTCCAAGAAAATAAATGGAGATGTGAGCAGGGAGAAAAAATCCAACAGTGGACTGTTCACACTGCATCACAGCATCTCACTGTACACTGTACACTCCTCTGAAATTTCTGACAATTTCATCCCCATACAGTGGCTCTTTCCTCTTTTTCCTCATTACTTTTTTAGTGTTGTGTTGGGGAGGTAGTGGGCAGAGCACCTTTGGCAAGTCTTTGTTTTTGACTAAAGGACAGAACAATAAGAGAGAAACTCTATGGAAGGAGGAAAATCCTGTCAACGTCCTGGCAGGAGAGGATCCTGTTAGGTGTACATGGGCACATGTGGTTGCAGAGATGGGGTCCCACTCTTTTTGCAAACACTCGGAGTGTTGTTATTTTCAAGTTGTTACTGCAGGTTGTTTTAACCCCCCCCCTCCCCCCAAAAAAAAAAAACCCACAAGTCTAACCTAGTTTGAGTGTGTGTGTGTGGAGGGGGGGACTGCTGGGAGAGATAATGATGTCTGGCAGCCCGTGCTCTCACTGCTTCACTCCTTCGCCTGCTTAGGCAGAGATGCTGCTTCTGCTCGGTTGGCACGGGTTCTCAACCATGTGCTGTTACCGCGGAGGTTACAAAAATACAAAATACCTGTGTATAATTAGAGTTGTCTTTTACTGAGTGTCTTATTGCACAAGTGTAAATCAAGAACAACTCAGTGTAGTACCATGTACAATGGGTTGTGAATCCTTGGGTACAGACTCTTTGATTCATACCATTACAAAATTATACTAAAATACCAAATTATTTTGTAGCAATATCTTTTAAGGCTGCAATTGAAGCAGAAGACAAAAATAGAAATATGACATTTTTGCAGGATTTGTTTCTGAATGACTATACTCGTCTCCCTTGTTCACAAATAAATTTAAATATGTTTTATGAACAGTAAGCATTCCTCAGAAAGAATTAACAGTAAAGTCAAAGTTACATGTTCAGTCTTATACAGTCAGTAAGGGAAAATAATACAGTAAATCACATCACATCCATAATGCATAGATATGCAACACGGGCGAGTTGCGATGTGAAATAAGCCACAAATCCTGACCTTTCAATATTGCAGCCCACTTTGGGATCCAATTCACCAGAGGCTTTGTGTGGAAGTTCTGCTGTGGGTTACTGAAGCATCTTGGCCCATCTGTTTTTCCAACACGGTTTGAAAATGAGAAATATGGGAGCACATGTTTGCTTGTGTTTCTGAAGTACTTTCATCCTTCCTCAAAGCCGAAATGCTGTCACACGCCAGCTTTTTAGACTAGGGGGCGCCAGTGGAGATGGTTTTTTTTGTTATTGTGGCTCTTGTTAAGAGAGGTTTGGTGAACCTCACATGCAAAAAAAAAAAAAAAAAGTGGTAGTTTTATTAGCAAACTGGTTAAATAGCCTTTCTTACTGTCATTTATTTTTCAAGGTTAAAAAAATATTTATTTTTCAAGGTTTAAAAAAAAAAAAGAAAAAATATTTATTTTTCAAAAAAAAAATTTCATATCCCCAATTAATTATAGGCAATAAATAAAATTCTCACCCAGCCTTTTATTAGGAGTTTCTTTGATACAGTACCAAACTTTAACCACTGGTTAAATGATAGAAAAGGATTTAAACAGTTCCAGTAAATCACATCATATATTCATAGGCACAAATGCACTTTAAATCTTAACTGTGATGATATGTAGCTATACTCTGTAAGTGTTTACACCACATTTGTTTTCCTATGTCTAAGTTCTGAATTATAGCCGAGTCGGAGACAATTACAGATAAACACTATTGAAATTTACGACCTTAGGACCAAATGTGACTGGAGCTCATGCTTTTCTAACCACATCCATAATCACGTTCACACTAATGACTTGGAGCACAGTGGTGTCAGTCAGTGGTTGTCAAGGATTAGCAACAAAAGCTTTCACACACCCAAGATAATCCACTGACGTCACTGAATTCCCCCAGCCTGGATGGTTATTAAGCCTTTCAGTGACCACATTATTCTCTGGGACTTTCAGCCCAGCCACAGTATGCATAATTTAAAAACCATCTCTGATATGAAATTCATTCCAGGCCCAAACTAAACATTGAACCACAGGATTGTCCAAAAATCTCATTAGGAAATGCCCACACACATTTCAATACCTCAGACCACTTATAACATAGTATACGAGTTTAAACATAGGGTAAACGTCCTCGAAAGGGACCGGTGCCCATTCCTCTCCATTTGAGGTGTCTTTGATTAAAATGAGTTTGTCAATGTGACTCACTCTCTCTTCTTTCTGCAGAAGAGTTTGTGTTTAGTGAGCAACTCTTTAATGACAAACAATTTGCTTGTTCTGGACAAACAGAACACACTGTGCTCCATGTTTGAAATATAAAATACAAAGTGACGGATTCAAATTTCCAGAGAGACCCGAATGAAAATGTGCATAACTCATAACATTTATCAAGTACAGCATATACAGCTATGATCAAACGATCCCTTCTCATTCTCTTGAAGTATGTGAGTGTGTCTGTGTGTGTGTGTGTGAGTGTGTGTGTGTGGAGGTTGCCAAATAAGTTCTCTGTCAGGTTTTTTCAAAGATCTCATCTTTCATCTTCTCTGAA